CTGACCACTAACACAGTCTCCGCAAGGCCCCCAAAATAGTAAGAGTCGAATTCTGAGTGGTGTCGCCGCAGTGGAAGACCCTGGTTCTGTTCAAACACACAAAAGGCATCACGTAGAGTTTTGGGGGTCTGGGACTCCAAAAGGAAATGCCAGTCCACATAGGTGGCCACATAGGGGCAGTCAACCCCACGGGTCAGGGGCGTAGAGTACTTGCCCATGCCAAAATTGCCATCAATATAGTGAGTCAGCATTGCTGCTGGGGAATTCCCACCATACACCGCCAAGGCCTCCTGGACGCTCACTTCATAGGCTACTCTCTCTCCTTGGAACCGGATGTCAAAGATCCTCAGACCACTGAAAGCTCCCAGGCCAAAGGAGAAAGTCCACAATGGAGAGGACACTTGGCTCCCCTGGACATTGAAGCGAGGACCTTGGGGATAGAACTGCAGAGGAGGAGCCGCACCAGGGGCTACCGGGGACTTCAAGGACCAGGACGCACCTGTGCCATTGTCTGGGACCAGCACCACATTCACCAGGCCTGCCTCAAACTGCTCCTCCAGCTGGACCAGGCTGTCATAGTAGCGGCCTTGATAGAAAACCTTCTGGATGGTCCAGTGGGCAGGGTCCAGGGCCTTGTGGTCTACCAGCAGCTCCAGCCCCACAGGGTGCAGGAAAATCCCAGCTCCTGAGAGTTTGTAGTAGAGGCCAAACCAGGTAGCTCTGTCCCCTGATTGTAGTCCACGGGGGGCTGTGGTCATTGTCACCAGGTTTCGGCCCTGGCGTTTGTAGAAGCAACAGTGATGGAGGAGCCCAGCAGCCTTAGGCAGCTCCCTGTCAAAGATCATCTGATCTATGTCCAAATACTCTCTTTCCAGCACAGGGCGTCTGTAATAGGGCAACGGGCCTCCATGATGTTCCTCAGTCACATCCCGCATGTAGGAGGGGTGGGGCAGAGGCCCTACAACCAGCTCACTCACATTAGGCTGCCGTTGTCCACCAAAGAAGACGATGGCCAGTGCTTCCCGAGCAGGTGGGGGGCCCCCTCTGTCCAGGTGGGCCAAGGCTGCAGCCTTGGAGGGCAGCTGCAGCTCCACTGAGAAGACACAGTTGTCGGAGGGCTGAGCCTGGGCTGCATCCACCAGCCCTGGTCCCAGCTTTTTGGTGAGAAAATCCATCACAGCTGTCAGCTCTTCTGGGCTGAGGTCTGCAAATATCTGGCTCTGGCTGGAGTGTTTCCAAGGCCGGCCATTAGGATAGATTGAGGGGCAATGGCGAGGCTGGCTAGCTTCACCCCCAGCTCCACTTTTGCTGGCTAGCAGGACACAAACTAAAGCAAAGATGGTGATGACAGCCAGAGCAAGGAGCACCAAGGTGGCCTTCTGGGTCATTGTTCCTTGAGGAGGGGCAAAATCCTACCAGTGTAAAGCTATATATTCTTAGGGCAAGATGAGGCCTTCTTGCCTGTTGTTAATCGGGGCTCTGAGAGTCTGGCTGAAGTTTCCTGTGGACTGATGCCTATGCTAGGGTGGGAAGGAGCTGGGAGGATTCGGCCAGGGGAGGAGCGTGCCAGCATTGGGAGGCGGGTCTGAGCAGGCCACAGAGATTTCCTCAGACCTTACATGGCCTTGTCCGCCAGGCTCCAAATTAGGCTCTGCTCTTTGGGTCAGGGTTGGAGTTAGGGAGAGTTGGAGTTGGGGGAAGGGAAGCAAGCCAGTCTGTATACAAAATTCCATACCAGCAAGCATCTGGGTCTGTCCAGCAGCATCTGAGCCCCTCAGCCCAACTTTGTCCCCAAGGCCCCCTCCCTCTACCCCTTCTCCAGGGCCAGATGTTCTTTTTCCTGTAACTGGGAACTATTGTTCTCTTCCCAAGGAACACCCACCTCCAGCCCCTTCAGTTTCCCAAGCAACTTTTCTTGGCCAGGTCCACCCCCTTGCAATCTTTTTTCATTGCTAATTTCCTTGGCCAGAGTACTTAATACTACCATCCCCCACCCCATGGGAATTCTAGATACTTAAAAATAGAATACAGGCACTGGAAATTCTAAGACTTTTTATTATCAATTATATATAACTATTCCTTTTGTATGCACATATATAAGGAAATGCCTTCTATAATGTAAACACCAACTACTTTTGAGATGTAGATTTATGACTTTTAATATTTCAACATTATTTTGTGTGTGAAGCTGGGTATTGATGGCTCATGCCTATAATCCTAGCTACTCAGGAGGCTGAGGATCACAATTCAAAGCCAGCCCTGATAGGAAAGTCTGTGAGACT